ACCTGTCCCTCTCCGCTGAGTAGTGATTACACCCGCAATACGGGACCAATTCAAACAGATCGTAGATACATAAATCAGAATTATGTTGGAATTCTCCGAATGCACGTGTTGCAGAAACGAGTCCAAATGCATCTAGAATGGTGAGCAGCCGAGCGAGGCCTTCCTTTTTAGTTACTACTCGCTGCTACATCTTCAGTGAGTCTTCCATGAATTATTCTAAATAAATAAATAAATAATAATAATAATTAGGGAAGTGAAAACCTTAATGAATCGACGGAAAAGGTAAGACATAGGAGGTAGGTATTGGCGAATCTTTGACGATCTTTTCTTTTTTTGGTATTAATTTAAATAAATTCAAGATCCAGTGACTGGCACTCAAAACTTCGAAAACGAGGTGTCTTTTTTTTTTTTTCGGTTTTTTTTTTCGTGTTTTTTTCTGGTTTTTTTTTCTTTCGTGTTTTTAGTCTTGAACGAGATCGCAAAATTAAGTCTTTCCAAATAAGCAATAATGAAATTTTCATTACAATGTCAGCCCAGTGAGCGGCATTCTAAATACAGTTTCTCAACCAAAAAAAAAAAAAAAAAGGGGGAAAACAACAAACGGGGTCGAAAAGCATAAAAAAAACTCCTCAAAACTGGAAAAAAAAAAAAAAAAAAAAAACGAAATTCGGGATCGGTTAAGTAGGCACGCGCCGTTCTGCTTTTCCTTATCAAACCGCACAACGTCATTGGGACTCGCTCCACCACTCAACAAATGTGCGAAATGAGAACGAATCTTTCGCTAGGGCATGGGAAGATACATCGCCATATTTTCTGTCTTTTGTGCATGTGGTGAGTAGTGGGGCGAGGCCAATTGCCTCAAAGGTTGAATTCAGGCGGGCTTTCCAATCCCTGAAAACAAATAGAACACCTGTGGGGAAAAAAAAAAAAAAAAAAAAAAAAAAAAGGGGGGTTTAAATAAAAAAAAAAAAAAAAAAAAAAAAAAAAAAAAAAAAGGGGGGGGGTTAATTAGTTAGGCAGTACGTATTACATCGGGATGATCAACAAATGGCCAGGTGCTGGCAGGCCTGTCATATGTGGGTATAGTCGCCACAGCCTCAAAAACAACCTGAAACGGTTTTCACCTTAAAGTTTGCAGAGGCAGATGCAGATCGCGGGGTTTGATCCCCAGACCTTCCCCCACCCATGTACAGTATCGAGTTGACCCTTGAGTTTGAACCCGTGACCTGTGTTTTACGACTTGTTGTTTGTGTGTCTCTCGTAGGACGGTGTGGACATCGGGATTCGATCTGTAGACCTGTCGAGTAGAGGTCTTATCTTAGAGAGTTCCACAAGTCGTAGCTGTAGATGTCCCCAACGGTCAAAGTCGTAGCTGCTACAGTCCTCTAACGGTCAAGGTCGTAGCTGCTTCAGTACTGAAAGGCCAAGTCCACGGTCTTCCGGAAGGTCCAGAAGTGGCCTTTCGAGTTTACCTCTTAGGTTCTCCACAGAAGGCGAGAGGCAAGTGGGCAAGTGGTACGTCCAGCTTCGGTTAGTCAGCGGTACCCAGTCCCAGTCTCACTTTGCACGGTCAGCAAGTACCAAGGGGGACTGTGTGCACCATGGGCCCGGTGGAAAGAGGCAGACCAACGAGTTACAGAAGTATAAATGAAGAGGCAGCGCACAGCCATTCATTCATCCCTGCGGAAGCGATGGGGAAGCGCTGCCACGGTGACTTGTGCGAGGTGGTCTGGAGAGGAGCCTGAAGTCGAAGTGGGCTGAAGGGAGTTAGCGCAGCCATAGCTGCTTGTAGAGTAGAGTTAGCTGGGGGCCATAGCTGCCATAGATAGT